GGGGGTAGGGGGTTCTGAGGGGGGAAGTCAGGTGGCGGGAAGTAGGAGGGAGTGGATGGAGGCGGGACTAGGGCAGGGGCGGGGTTGGGGCGGGGCTCCCTGGGTGCACACCTTAATGAAATGGGCTGCGCGTGCCTATGGTGAGGCTCCTGCCCTGGTGGTGGGATGCAGACAGTGGCAGCTGGGGGTGGAGGTCTCGCGGCAACATGCTCTGGCCGGATGCAAGAGAGGGAGGGGTCAGGGGTGGAGGGTGAAAGTGACGCATTGGTCAGTGGAGTCGGGTCTGATTCTCCCTCGTGTGTTGCCGTCTGCGGGCTGGGAGTCACTAGGGTGATCTTTCACCTGAGCCATAGAGCGAAGGGGGATCTCGGCAGCTGTAGCTGCAACTTGACTTTGCCCTGACTCCCTTCCAGGAGGTGGCCATGATGAAGCTGGTGCATAGGATGGTGATCAGCGATGGGGATGAGGATGACGATGACGACGATGATGACGAAGGCAGCGTCCACCCGCAAGTAAGTGTCATGCTCTGTCAGGGACAGGCAGCAGGAGCTAATAAGTAGAGAGCTCAAGAGACCTGGTTCTGCCGCTGGCCTGCTGGGTGACCTCGGGCAAGTCCCCCTCCTGCTGATTAATGCACTCACTGGTTCTGCACCTCCCAGGATCAGACCTGGGTGAGTAGGGAACTGAGGTGATGGGGGAGGGGCCCTGTCACATATCTGGCTAGAAACCAACCAACCATAATATCAGGGAAGCAAACTGCTCTCCATTGACTGCACATGGAGACGCTCCCAACACCTGCACCAATGAACTGAGCTGACGAAAGGGGATGTGGGTTCTTTTGGAGCACCTCAAACAAAAGGGCTGTGATCATCCCTATGGAGCAATGGGAGCGTCACGCTGTCTGGGGTGGCTCACAATTGTGAGTGCCGACCTGAGGACACTGTCAGAAAACAGGGTAGACAGCCTAAGGTGGTGGTGTGGTCTATAATTCGATTTCACCAAACCAGTAACAAATGTGAACTCCTGGATTACTATCCCAGTTTTACCATGGAGTCACAGACAGTCCCCTCAGACACTCGAGACAAACTGAACTTTGTGATAAAAGGTCACTTAAACCAAAAATCACACCACATCAGGTTGCTTCCAGTCCCAAGAGACTGGTCACTAACCACAGACCAATTGGTACTCCAGATCTCACACCAAAGACAACGCTGGCAGCCAATTCTATAGTAAACTAATTCTAGGTTTATTAGCTAAGAAAAGGAAACGAGAGTTATTGAGAGGTTAAAGCAGGTAAAATATATAAACAGGTGAGTCACAGTTTGTAATCCCAAATGGTGGCACTGATGTGATAAATTGCCAGTTTCCCCAAAGTCTTTCAGAGTACCCAGATTATCCCTGGGGATCTCTGCTTTGCATCTGGTACACTTCCCTGTAAGAGTCCAAACAGTTCAGAGATGATGGATCATTTCTTGAATCCATATTTATAGCTCCTTTACACACAAAGCAAACTGACAGTGTCCTTACCTATGTGGGCTTTTCCTTTGATGGCGGTGAGTGGGGAATGCACTTTGAGTCATTGAACGCCAGTCATCCCCACAATGGCCACTTGCTTTGAACTATTAAAGTCCTTCATTCCTATTTCATGAGACTTCCTTGAAGGGTTATTTAGTTACAGGGGTATACACAATGTAAATGTTTGCTATTACATTATAACAGGAACAGAGAAGTGACAACAACACAAGTGACGTTCCACTAGTTTTAATGAAGTTTAAACACCAGATTCACTCGTATACAAACACTAATACACAAGTAAATTGGCCTGAACACACTCACTTTGATCTATGCTAATACACAAGTGAATTGGCTTAGGGCCCTGATCTAATCTGGTCTGCCAGCCTCACAGGGAGAATAAGCTTCCAAGCTGGAACTGTGAAGATCAGCTCTGCAATCCAGGCCATAGCCTGGAGCACGTAGGGTTTCATTTGGAGGACGACGTGGGCTTTGATGGAAACCGAGCTGTAGAGAGGGCTGCTCCGATGCCCTCAGCTTTGCAAGATCACAGCTGACTGGTGTGGTTTCAGCCCCTCTGGTGCATTCTTGGGCTCGTGCTCTCCTCCCTGCGAAACTGAAGGTGTCCTTCCTAATCTAGAGCCTGTGACAGACAGATGGCTTCATTAAACAGAGAATGGGCTGTTGCCCAATAAGAAGCATGTTCATGCAACGTCCCTTATCTAAATGGGCATGAGACAGAGGCATCTCCAGCACATATTGGACTGGAAAAGATCTAGGGTTCCTGTAGGAGATTCTGCAAAGAAGGCCCCTGTTTTCTCCTTGCCTCCCAGTAACTCCACCGAGGGGATGGTGCCAGATGCAGCTCTCAGCAGCTTTGATAGGTGCAGCTGGGGCTGTATCATAGATTCTAGGACTGGAAGGGACCTCAAGAGGTCATCGAGTCCAGTCCCCTGCCCACATGGCAGGACCAAATACTGTCTAGACCATCCCTGATAGACATTTATCTAACCTACTCTTAAATCTCTCCAGAGATGGAGATTCCACAACTTCCTTAGGCAATTTATTCCAGTGTTTAACCACCCTGACAGTTAGGAACTTTTTCCTAATGTCCAACCTAGACCTCCCTTGCTGCAGTTTAAGCCCATTGCTTCTTGTTCTATCCTTAGAGGCTAAGGTGAACACGTTTTCTCCCTCCTCTTTATGACATCCTTTTAGATACCTGAAAACTGCTATCATGTCCCCTCTCAGTCTCCTCTTTTCCAAACTAAACAAACCCAATTCTTTCAGCCTTCCTTCATAGGTCATGTTCTCAAGACCTTTAATCATTCTTGTTGCTTTTCTCTGAACCCTCTCCAGTTTCTCCACATCTTTCTTGAAATGTGGTGCCCAGAACTGGACACAATACTCCAGTTGAGGCCTAACCAGCGTAGAGTAGAGTGGAAGAATGACTTCTTATGTCTTGCTCACAACATACCTGTTAATGCATCCCAGAATCATGTTTGCTTTTTTTACAACAGCATCACACTGTTGACTCATATTTAGCCTGTGGTCCACTATAACCCCTAGATCCCTTTCTGCCATACTCCTTCCTAGACAGTCTCTTCCCATTCTGTATGTGTGAAACTGATTGTTCCTTCCAAAGTGGAGCACTTTGCATTTGTCTTTGTTAAACTTCATCCTGTTTAACTCAGACCATTTCTCCAATTTGTCCAGATCATTTTGAATTATGACCCTGTCCTCCAAAGCAGTTGCAATCTCTCCCAATTTGGTATCATCTGCAAACTTAATAAGCGGACTTTCTATGCCAATATCTAAGTCGTTGATGAAGATATTGAACAGAGCCGGTCCCAAAACAGACCCCTGCGGAACCCCACTCGTTATGCCTTTCCAGCAGGATTGGGAACCATTAATAACAACTCTCTGAGTACGGTTATCCAGCCAGTTATGCACCCACCTTATAGTAGCCCCATCTAAGTTGTATTTGCCTAGTTTATCGATAAGAATATCATGCGAGACCGTATCAAATGCCTTACTAACATCTAGGTATACCACATCCACAGCTTCTCCC